TTCTATTGCACTTCTTTCTTCAAGACTCTTCCACAGACTTTGGAGTACACTTAGCTTAGTCCCTCCAGCATAGTTAGGGTTTATGTAGTTATTGTAGCAATACTTGCCCAAGTCCTAGACAATTAGAATGTTCTAATCTGAGAGGAAGATATGGGAGCCAGTTGAAAAATCTTCAGTGATGGAACTTGCATAAAAGAAGACATGTCCCTTAGAAATGTTGCTTAATATCTGTTTCTATTTTTTTTTTATAAAACACATAGCCTATTTTTCTGAATGAGTAGCTATTGTTTAAGAGAACTTTAATGAAGAGAAAAAGGTTTCTCTTTGGCTTTGATGACATTAATCAAAGCCCAAAGAGAGAAACAGTAAGGAGAAAACTAAACACTGCACAAAAAATACGTTTGAACGAATGAAAGCAAACGAATCTGATCTAAGTTTGATCATTAATTTGTTGAGAAACATTTATAATATTGAGGCTATATGTCCTAAGGTATCGAGGAAATTGTAGCATTTATAACTCTAGGTATTAAAGTAACTAGTGTAGTTACGAAGTTTATTGTACCACTAACACTTTATCTTTAATTAAAAGCTTGGAAGGTACTTGTAGATTTGAAAATAAATGAGGTACCAGTTTTAAAAAAAGGGAAGAAGAGTGATCTTGACAGTTACTATTTTGTAAATCTAACTTCTGTCCCTTTTCAAATAGAGGGACGTATATGATGGAGAAATCCACTGACGAGCTATTAGAACCACAAGCAATAGACAGCATTTATAAAAAGCAAACGTTGCTTAACAAACTTGATTGCTTTATTTAATAGTTTAAACATTACAGGATGAATAGAAAACAGTAGATGTGATATTAAATATATTTGGATTGTAGTGAAATATTTGACACTGCATCTCAAACTTTATTGTTAAAATTAATGTAAATGGTTTCAGCTATGAATATTATATTTGGGATTATGATCCAATTGGCTGATGAATCACAACCAAAAGCTAATGTGCTAAGTTTAAAGGAAGATATTGCAGGAATCTGTGTTAACTCTGAGCTTAGCTTCTTTCATATTTGTCTAAAAGATCATTAAATGGGTATGCAAGGAGACAACAATTTACAAATACCCAAAGGTTACAGAAATCAAGAAGAGAGTAATTATCGAGATAGTATGCATGGGGAGAGTACCACAAGGAGAAACTGAATGAAATTAAGAAAGGAATAATGTAGGGTGAATATCAGAAAAAGTTCCAGGAAGATGTCTGACGCTAATGTGTGGTGTAAAGGTCTCCTGAATGAAGGGAATCCTACCACAAGGGACAAATCAAATTAGTCTGAACAAAACACTAAAAAATATAGTCGGGAACCAGCCCACTGTAATGTTTTGGGGGTCTCTGGTACCAGTAAAGGGTTCTCTCACCTCCTGCTTTATAATTTTGGGTACCTCAATGCTATGTTGCTAAGGATCAGAGCCTTGACACTAGTAATCAGCCTACAGCACCCAACAGCTTAGTTATTCCCTGCAGGGTGATCTCAACACCCTTTCCGGTCCCTCCCAACTCGCCCCTTATCTGTTTACCCCAAGTTATTGAGTACCATGCACTTGGACTTTTCCCCACTGGTTTGCGATGCCTAAAAGAGTGAAATGTGCTCACTAGTTTTCACTTCACTTTGCAATACACACTCTGCATAGTTTGCACAACAGAGACCTGCTTGGGGAAGAAAACTACAGAGTCAAAGGTGAAAGAGCAAGCAAAATAGACACACAGAAGTTACAAAGAAAATAAACAAAGACACAACTCCAGGTTCAACACTTCTTTATTATAGATTCCCTTTTCTAATACCAGCTACTATTGCCCCTGAACAGTTTCGCAGCATGTCCTCTAGTGCTAAGGTGGGATCCAGCATTCATTGAATTATAGAACTGGAAGGAACCTCAGAAGGTTATCAAATCCAGTTTCCTACACAAGGACCAAGCACAATCTAGACCATCCCCAATAGGTGTTTGTCTAACCTGCTCTTAAAATTCTCTAATTATGGAGATTCCACAACCTTCCTGGGCAATATATTCCATTGTTTATCCAGACTGAGAGAAATTTTTTCCTACTGTCCAACTAAACCTTCCTAGCTGCAATTTAATCCCATTACTTCCTGTCCTATCATCAGAAGTTAAGGAGAATAATTTTTCTCCCTCCTTCTTGTAACAACCTTACTCACAGATAGCCTCCTGCCTTCAAGAGTGTCCTTCAGTTCTGGACATAAAATATCAGCCAAAAGACTGATTTTAAAAGGCTTTCCTTCCTTTTTGCTCTTTCTCCTAGAAGGTGACTTGTAGTTATTCAGATAGGGGTAAACTCCCCCTCTCCCTTTCTTAGTTTTCAAAGACTGTTATTGTTTTTTTCCAATGTCTTTGCATTGACTGTAAAGGCCCATCATTTGTGTTTTCCTGTATTGTAAAATGCTAGATTTTTGGAACTGGTCTTGTTGGGTTGGAAAGGCACTCCCCTGCCTGGCTGACAACTTCCCTGGTGTGAGATGGAGCTGAATGTTGCAACACAAATAAAACACTACAATATTGTATCTACATGAATTCACAACCAGTCTGTACATATTTTTCATAATAACCAGCAAGTTCGGAACACTACATTTCATAAAAGAACTTACTTCATATATTTGTATACTCAATATCATTATATAAAGTTAATTCAATAGCTTATTCTTTGACATTTCAGACCCTCTGTTCTCCCTTTGGTGTGTCTGGACCCAGATTGTCACCCTACCCTGCATGGGAGATGTACTGTGTGACCCAATAGGTCTTTTCAACTTTCAATGCCAATGACTCTGTAATTAGAAAACCAAACATCTTCCAGAATCCTCTTATCACTGAGTTCTTCTGTCATCTCGTCCCTGCATGGTACTAGATTCAGTGTAGCAGTTATTAATGAACAAAAATTATTATAACTCTTTATTCTTTAAATACTGTGGCAGCAAAGAAAAACAAGGACTGAAGGTAAGAAATGTCTAGAAAAAAACAGTATTGAAGCACAGGGGAATTTCTCTTTATATGAATATTGATTCTTCTAAGTCTCCTGATACTCCACAGGAGCTCATTACAAATTCCCTCAATATACTGTGACAAGTGACTGACTCCCAAAAGGTGCTTAATAAAGAAGGATCTTTTTATTGACCTTTGTTTTAATTTGAGCCCATCAGAGTTTTCCAAGCTCAGTATAAAGTTAAAGTCACATAAATAAAGAAAATGGTCCCAAAGATACTCCAAATTCAAACCAGCTCCAAACACCCACTGCCTTAAAAATAAGCTTAGTAACTCTTCCACAGATCAGACTGAGCGAACAGGTGAGTCCTACAAATGGTCCTGTGGGTCATCCAGTCAAGCCAAGCTCCAGCTGCACAAGGGGCAAGTGTCAGTAGTAGTCAAGGAAAAGTCTCTGAATGGCTCCAGAAAGGACATCTTGTTTTTATTTAGTTTTCTTTGAGTCATTAAGAGTCAGGCGCCACTCGTGCTGAAACATATCATTATTACAACCACAAATGCTCTTAGTGTCCAAAAGGAAGATTTATTCTCTTAGCTAGTTAAAAAAAGAAGAAAAATCCAATCCACAGAGACCAAAAAGTAACAACGGAAGAATCCCAGAGAATTAGAGAAATATTAGAACGTAACATTTAAAACTGGACTTAAAAGGCTTCTCGTAAATGAGGGCTCCAGATGTTGACAGAAGAGAGAATGTGGTTTACAGAGAATAACCAACCAAAGGAGCAATGTACAAGCCATGTAAGTTTCCTCCTGGCAAAGTTTATTGGCAGCTGAGGGAGACATGTCTTTCAGATTTGGCTTTTTAGGGCAGCTAAATTAACTTGCTCTAGTAGCAGATCACTTTAACTGCTCTTGAAAGTAGAAGTCTGCCAATTTTAAGAACATAGGATCTGCTAAATCGGCTCAGACAAGGAGTCCGTTTTACCCACTATCTCATCTCTAATTGTGGCCAGTATCAGAGGCTTCAGAGGAAGATGCAAGAAACCCCAAAGTGGGGAGTTATGGAATAACTGACTTGTAAGGAAAATTTATATTCCAAACCTCCATCAGTTAGATAACTGGCCCCTTGCTGACACACAAGCATGTGCATTCCTTCAAATTTTCTGGCTTTTTTGGTTTTCTTTTAATTCATAGTAACACAATTCTATATGACCTAAGGACTAACATGCCATGCATCTCACTAAGTGGTTTTACCCATGAAAGCTTATGCCCAAATAATCTGTCAGTCTTTAAGGTGCCACAGGAATCCTCATTTTTGCAGTTATAGACTAACACAGCTACCCCTCTGAGCCAACTCTGTATGTTCTCATTAGCCAAAATATCTGATCCTTTTACAAACTGGACTGAGCGCCTAGCCTCACTGATATCCTGTGGCAGAGAGTTCCGCAAGCTAACGGTCCCATACTAGAAAAGCTACTAGATTTAATCGTGCTGCCTGTGAACCTCTCCTTGTCCTTGCACGGGGAGAACTCCCACTCCACCCTGACTACGCCAGGCACGATGGTGGGGACACCCTCATCCTGCCCTCCCCCGCCGGCAGCGTCATTCCCTTCCACCACAGCCTGCTCCCCCCAG